GGCGGAAGGGATTTGATGGCGTTTAGTGTAAATGGGAGCCGCTGTGGCCTGCTGGGCGCACGGACGAAGCGGTGGCCTGATCCTGTGCAGTCCTGTGGTGGAGGGTCCTGAACAGTTTCAGGATCGTGGACGAAGTCATACAGTAGCGGAAGTCGAGAAACCTCCGCATTTTAGCGGTGGAAAAGCCCAGGTCTGTCCAAAAGGTTCACTGTGGTGCTCGGGGACTAATCCATAAGAAGCCATTTCAGCCAGCTATCACCTGGCGCCGTGTCTTTGGCTGTTGCATAAGCAAATACATTGCGTGATACGTGCATCGTATTTATGACGTGGAAGGCCCTCGTTAAGCCAAAGAATTATTAACAGTAAGACTGAGATAAAGCATTTACTTTTGTGCAGCAAGTGGAGCAAGTAAACGTTCCCTGAAGTATTATCCATGTGACTTCTTGAAAGGTGTTTGGTCTTCCGGAAGTTTGTGACTATGAGGTCTTACTTCAGGCATCTTAACATCTGGAGAATTTATTTTGAACAACTGCCCCCGTCATCCGTATAAATATCAAGTTTTGCTTTGCCTACTTTTGAGACAACTTAAAAAAGACTAATATTTGCTTTAAGGCTTTAAAAAAATCTTAAGGGGCTTTTCTGAGTAGTTACATAGAAAGGTGTCTTTAGCTGTTTTATCAGTGCTTTTGCTACACACGTTATCATGGTTTGATTTTTCCACACTATTGTTACAAAAGGCTATTGTTGTTTTTTTTTTTTGTTTCTAAAGAGGGAAGAAGTAATGGTTTACCATATATTCTTGGAACGTGCTGTGTGCTTGTAGTTGTGGTAACATAATAGCAGTTTGGGAGAGGATGGAGACCAAAGCAGTATGCCTGAGCAGTAACAACATGAAAGTGGGATGTTTTGTCTTACAAGCTAAACTGAAAGAGATTAATAAAACAAAACACAAGATGAGCATTCTAGAGAGGCTTATCTAGTCTACTGCTGTTATGTCAGTACCCCTTAACTGAACCTGACTGGGTTGTCAAAAAGAACTGAGAGGAGGGGAAGAAAATACTAAGTTAGAGCAATGGCACCAAAGAGGGAGGTTTGGGTTTTGGTTTGGGTTTTGTTTTTTTTTTCTGATGTTGTAGGACTGGTTCTGCAAGTTGAACAGGCCACTTTCCTGGGGCTTTAGGCAGGCCAGTGTTTTTTATCCTGTGAGTCACTGCATGATCCCTGATAGGAGAGTGTTTTCCTCTCTGGCTTCTACACATACACACACACAAAAATATCCTAGAGAGTTGTCTATCAGAAAAGTCTTCAAAGAGAAACTGAGTTCTGGCATCAGTTTTGTGACTGAAATATTTACTTTAATAACTACATGGCTGTTTTTCTTCCCATTTTTTAATATTTCATATCAGATAGAACTGGCTACACAGTACCATGGACTCGAATATATTTTTTAAAAAGCTTTTGAATGTAGCCAAGATTCACTGAGAGCATTAACTTTTTTCCCTTCTGTTTCTAGTGAATGATTTCTTTTCTCTCTGTGCCTTCCAGTTCATGGAGATCTCTGAACAGAGGGAAGAAGCTTCTTAAAGAAGGTGCTTCCTATTACAGGGTTAGATAGTGTGTGGTAAAGGGAAAGAACACATTTTTCTTTTGGCATACCGTCATGTACAAATCCTAGTGCTAAGGAGTACTCAGGGGTCTTTATAATGATGAGTAGGCCTGACTCTGCTATTTGAGAGATTTGGAGAAAAGTTAGACTAACAAAGGTTAAGTGGTGATTAATGTCATAGTTTAGGTACTATGACATAGGCTATGCTGAATGATGACAGTTTTGCATGTCTGTCTTGTGTAGTCCTGAATGATCAGATGCGCCACAGATGTTCAGGGTGTGATGAGGGAAAAGAGGAAATAGTAGCAATTTGATCACAGAGACTGATACAGGAGTGGCACAGTCTTCCTTTACACCTATCACTAGCTTAGTAGATCAAAAGTATACTCAGAGCTGCTGAAAGAGGGTGAATCTTCTGTAAATCCCTGATATTTTTTTTTAAGTGTTTAGCCTATCTTTGACTACTGTTATACACCGTCCAATGCAATACTGTCTTGAAAGGCTGCAGAAGGCTTTTTAGCTTAAAATTTTTATCCCACTGCATTTGTGCACTGCATTAGCAATGTTGAATATTAACTACAGTAGCTTCAGGTCGTGCTGTGGGTGCAGTTGAGGTAGTTATTTGCTGTGTTACTGCTGCTTCTCTCAGTGAAGCAGTATCTGCAGAGGAAATTGATCTAATAGTCTTTTGACTTTTCCCTGCTGACAGTCATTATACAGCTGTTTTGTGGTTTCTTGAAAGATTTTGTGTTCTTTGTCTGACACTCACTGTGGCATCCATTTTCTAATCTTAAAGACCATAGATGTGATTACTTGCAGAACATGCTGAAAGATCCATCTGTCTTTCCTCTAATGATCAATCTTGACTACAGCATTACTCTGAGATAGGCTAGTTGAGGTGAAATACCCTTGCAGTGAAGTATACTGCCTCTCTACTGTATTTGGGTAACTGCCTACAACAGTGCTGGGAAAGCTTCCATCCTAGGATGAGCTGAAGAAGAAGGAGCCAGGACAGGGTAAGACACACTGTGTTGTTAGTTATTGAATCTTGGCATTTGTTTATGGGTGCCTGCTTTACATAGTATATTCCAGAACACCTGTTTGCGGCACTGAGCTGAGGAATATACATTATGTTATATGAATATACATTTTATGTAAAGTGTATTACATAAGTCAACAGAGAAGCTGGAGTAGTTCTAGAGATGAAAGCAAATAGCATTCAATGAGAACATGCAGAATTCCATCATAATAAGATGGTAAACCACAAAGTGATTCATATTTACACCCAAATGACTGATCTGTTTCGCCATTTCTTTCCTCTCATTAAGTACGACCCAGATGATAA